GGAGACTATCAAGTAGGCAGTTAGATATAAGAGGGTAAAGCTAGAGGAAAGGTTAAGATTAGATACAATATTCAGGTGTCATCAGCACACACCTAATTGAAGCCATAGGATGAAATGAGGCCCTCAAGTAAGTGATGGTATATCAAAAAGAGAACACAGCTGAGGACTAACTTCCTAGGTCTCTTCAACATTTAACAGTCATTTTCATCAAGAAGATGAAAATCGGCAAGGAGTAAAAGAAGCAATTTGTGAGAAAGGGGAAAAAAATTATAAGAATATAACTTTCTAGAAACCAGGATAAGGACGTGATCAATGCTATCAAATGATGCTGAAAGGTTGAATAAGACGAGAACTGATAACTTTCCTTTGAACAGTACAAGATGAAATTACCAATGAAATTGATAAAACAATTTTAGTAGAGTAGAAGGAAAGAAAGTCTAATTGGCATGGGTTGAAAAGAAAAGGAGAGCTGAGAAGGGAAGATGGCAAAAGTATAGACAATAACAAATATTTACTAAACATCTGTGTGTCAGCTGCTTCAGATATATTAGTCAACAAAAATACAAAAATCCAATTTCCCATGGGGCATATATTCTCCCAGAAGGAGAAAGACAATAATAAATAAAAGAAATACATAAATTATATACTACATCAGAAGATGACTGTGCCACAAAACAGAAGGGTGATTTTTAGTTGTTGGAAGTTTGAGGAGAGAGATATAAAACAACCACCCAGAAGAGAGGAAACTGGGAAGTGAGCATGATTGGGTATTTTACTCTAGAAAAGTTCAGCTGTTCCAGGGTAAGTGTGTAATAAATGAGGAATTGGATTAAAACACAGATAAGGTTCTGACTAGCAAATATGACAAAGGAAGAGAGAGGCAAGGGAATTAAGGTTTTATATGAAAGATGATCACAGTGATCAAGCACTGTATCTGAGCTGAGTAAGGAAAGAAGTGAAGTCATGAGGAGACAATCAAAAGTGAAAAATGGTGTGGTCAACAGACTGGAGGTTGCAATGAAGTTAAAAAAATATCGGAATGAGTATTAGAATAAAATGGTAGTCAGAGTAAGGGATGGTTGGAATTAGATTTGGGAGGTGGCAAAGGTCTAGGGATGATCTTGGGAAAAGGTGGCTGGAGTGGAATGGAAGAAAAGATCATGGGAAATTTAGAGGTCAAGTAACTGTGAGACCAGAGTGTTGAATATACCAGCTACAGAGTATTTGAGATCACCAAGAAGTATGAATTGACTAACTGCATCAAATACATCAAGAAGGTCTTTGAAAAGACCAGAATAGTAGTTAGATGAATGCTAAATCTGAGTGGGGGGGTAAAAGATAAAGCAAGAAAAACATAGTTTGATGAAGGAAGGTTTCATTTTATTATATATTTAGCAGTATGATTCACTCAGCTACTATGTGCATACTATCTGTCCAATTTAGTCAAGGCCTTCTTTAATTTAAAAATAAAAGATGAGACATCTTCCTGAATTGTAAGCCAGTGATTTAACACTGCTCTAGGTGATCAGAGAATGTGAAGCTAAAAGTCAAAATAATTTAGTTTATATCTCATAGGGATAACTTTGGAAAAGGCATTTTATATCTATATGCCTATGTCTATCCCCATTTCAAAAATAAACTGACTGATATGCAAACTATACACAGTAATAAACTTAAGCATAAAGAAGGGAAAGGTAAACTCTATGTACACGCTAAATAATTTCCTTCTTCGAATGGAACAAATGAAGTAATAAGACCATTGAGTATGTAGGGAAACTGGAAGATATTTAGACAATTTATCTTGGTACTCATTCATTCATTCAAGAAATATTTACTGAAGACCTAAGATGTAACAAGTACCATTCCAGATACTGAGGATCTTGCAATTAACAAAACAAAATCCCTGCTATCATCGAGCTTTCATTCTACTCCAGGACTTTAAACAATTTTAGGGTTAACCTCTAAAAGGAATTCAATTTTGAAAAATTTCTAAAGTAAAAAATATACAAAACTTGTGAAAGTTCAACTCTGTACTACATAATGCCTCCCCCTGATTCTATTTATTCAACCCTGAAAGAATATTTCTGACCAGCTTCTAATTACAAGAAATTGCCTGAAGTGTATCTAGTTTAAGTAATGTTTCCTTGGATCTATCTATCATTAAACACTATAAGGGAACCAATCACTAAAACTGTTCATAGTTCATACAAAGGAAAAATGGAAACCTACAAGAAATATAGAGCATTCTTCATAGGTCCTCTCTAGTCTGCTTAATTCAATTTAAACAATCTTGCAATCACTTAATGATGAGGACGCATTCTGAGAAACGCATTATTAGGTGAGTTCCTCCCTGTGCAAACATCATAGAGTGTACTTATACAAACCTAGATGGTACAGCCTACTACACACCTAGGTTATATGATACTAATCTTATGGGACCACCGTCACACATGCGGTCCATGACTGTAATTCTAATCCTAGGCTGCTAAGTAGTAGAGAACAGGAAGGGTTTTCCCACTTAGTACTTAAAAGAATCTAGGTGCTCCTCACACAGAACATCTTTCACCTTTTCTAAACTCTTCCAAGGACTCAAATGTTCCTAACAGAGAACTGAAAAGATACGTTACCTAACTTCTCTCTGCTTCATTGTCTACCTGTTTAAAGTGATAGCAGTACCTACTTCTTAACATTGTTTTGGGATTGAATGAGATAAGGCATATAAAGAATTTAATGCTCAATCATAATTGATGACATCAATCATTATTATCCTAAGTAGTGAGGTCTCAATAATAATAGCTTACATTTATCATTATCATCCTTCCCAAAACCACAGTCAGGAAAGATAATATACAAGCTACAATAAGGATATTAAAAGATTTCCTTATGTTTTGGCAAGATGATCAACATGCATATATTCCTCAAACTAAGCAACAGATTTAAAGTATCTGTTGTTACTTTATTACACTAATGTTACTAATATCCAGAATTTCTAAAAATGGCTGAGCTTGGAAATTTTTAGGAATCAAATAAGAGCTTCACCAACAAGATGCTTTATCAACATTTTATTGGCTACTCCAAAGACTGAGAAGTATTTCCTGTCTTTAAAAACACATTTTTTGCCTTTTACTTCAATGTAGAGTTAATAGAACTAAATAAATAATGGAGTTAAGACCATTTAAAAGATATTGTTATTATTTTCTAGCCTCATCCTAGTCAGACCATACTAGAAATCTCTAAAATGATTTTATTCAAAGAAAATTCAAAAACAAACAACAAAAAGAAACCCAAGTGAACAAGTAGAAAAATCCTTGTATTAATTAAATCTGGAAAGTGATGATGGACTACACATAAAGGAATTAACAAAGGTAAGACCTGAAGTAAAGCAAAAATACTAGTAAGAATCTTTCATTTAAAAACTAAGTGATCTTTCAAAGATCTTGAAGAAAACCAAGAAATCTCCAAACGGAGGTCACTAAATATCCATGAACACTCACCCAACCATTGGTAGGAGATCTCTTGAAGAACCAGATGCTTGAATCAGCTGAAATAGTACCAAGTTTTTACTGATTACTCTTAATAGGGCAATGGAGCACAGGTTAACTCCATACTATCAAAAATTAAAGACCACTATTATTGATAATTCTAGCTACTACCATTACAAATTACTCAAAGGAAAAACAGACTGAGTAACAAGTTCCAAGGTGAGTGAAACAACATGTACATGTTATAAATGTGTACATTTCCTCCAGTTCTCTTAGTGATATAAATCTGATAGCATAATTCTTCTTATAAATGTAAATATATTGGCAGAATAAAATTTTCTAAATTAATGTTATAAAATTCTTAAATGAAGCATGTTAAATATTTTTAATTTTAGTTCATATCAAAAAATTTGAAAAACGAATTTGTTTTTTAAAGACAATGCCAATTTCTCAACACTAAGTACTTCAGTTAACACACAGGACAAGATTTTCAGTTCCCTACACTTAAAAAAAATACAGTTCTTAACTTTAGGTCATTTAATATACTAATGATTCTTCTAATCAGAGGATTCTCATATTTCAACATAAAAGAACTCATAACATTTAAGGCTAAAAAAGCCTCCTTTCCCAAAAGTGACGACTATTTTCAACATTATTGATTAAAACCTGAAGTTACCAATTTAATAGAAAATACCCAATGTTACTTAATTCCAAAGAGGAGTAGATGAGAATACAGTAATCTTTTTCTCAATCTCTGGAAGCTGGGAGGTATGATCCCCTCTCCTACCTCCCATTCCCCCCAAACCATGACTTACTCCAAAGGTCTATCTGAGAAAGATTAAGACACTCTACTACTGCAGAAGTGGCCAAGAACAAAAAATGGAAGGTTCTATATTTCTATATTTTTCCCAAGTAACTAAGATATAAAAACAAATTCTGCCTGATACATGTGTACCAAGTAAGGGAACAAGGGGAACAAGCCTCATTTAGTTTACACAGTTTAGACAGATAGGAAGCAAAAGGAACGTTGACATTTTAATGTCAAGTAAGTCTATTCAAGCTACCAAAGAAACTGAAATCCCAAGCCAGCAAATTTACTCTGACCTGGCTGATCAATGATTTAACCGTTACATTTCTAAAGATAGCTTTGCAATATAATATATATATGTATCAATTATTGAACATGAAAGAACGTTTGAAGTCTTGAGAAAAGCAGCAAAATAAGAGCAGGAGCATAAAAAAAAATCTCCTCCCCTGCCTATAGTAGACAAGGAGAATGTCTGATAAAGTCTGGGAGAGACCTGAAAATAGAATGGTGAAAAGGAATGCCAAATAGAACACTAGCTCTACAGTGACTAAGAATCCTAATGTCCCTAAAATATGAAGAAAAATTAAGAATAAAGAAAGAAAGAATCAAGAATGAAATAGAGATTGACATACAAAAAACGTGTGTGTGAGAAAAATTCAAACATTTTAGATCTGTCGCAAATTTTAAATGACAAAGTATAGCAATATTACCTTTCTTTCGAAAGAGTGCATTTAGGTAACTTTCTGCTTGGCATTCAATCTTTTCAGTGTTGGACTGGCCCTGAGATGATAGTTCCTCTGTTGGTGTTGACTGTGAAGAATCAAGAGATGGTAGACAATCCTAAAAGTATAAGAAAACAACATAAAAAAACCATTTTATTTAAACATAGGATTCCATTAAAATGGCAAAAAAAATAAATTCTCTAAATGCTCATTTGTTCTACCTTTTAAATATATCAAATTATATAAAGAGAACATAAAATGTGGGACAGCAGTCAGAAAAAAAGAAATTTAGCTCTGACAGAGGGTCAAATTAGCCTTATTCCTCAGCAAAACTATAGTCAAAAAGGGGGTAAGAACAGATAAATACACTGCTGAATAAATTCACTATATAGCATGCCAATAATGTAATACCTTCGGAGAGTTTTAACAACAAAGTAGATATGTTCACCCACTAATCTGACCAAAATGGGTACAGGTTCTCAAGTTCTCATTTCTTCTTAGACCGTCTCACAACAGTGCATAAGGAATTAGGACTTCCCACCATACAAGAAGATGCTGCTTGCATAGATTATGCCCTGTTTACAATAGACACTTACATAATCATTTACAATAGGAGATAATTATGATATCCAAAAGACTTCAAGAGAAAGTGAAAGGCTAAAAAGTGCTACCACATTATCCTCCAACCACTGATTCCTAAGAAATCAGACTGTAGGGTGGTCTTAGATCAAACTAGGCCTCCAAGCTCACCCTTGTCTACCTAAATATAAAACAGATCTGACCTGAACTTCATAAGTCAGGGAGCTATAAGAAAGAAATGTGAAATAAGCAAAACAGATGAGTGTTTGGGGATTTTTTTATCTGCAGGTTAAGCTAAATGTTTGACTTCTAACATAAGACTTCAAAATATTCTTCTTATTACCAAAATCAAGTATTTAAGTTTCCACTGTAAGTCACAAACTTGCAGAACAAATTAAGTTAAAAAAAACAAAAAAGAACTGTGTTACAATTGTGCAATTAGTTTAAAAATAATTTCATAGCACTAAAACTTACACTGACTGCTTCTCTCTGTAGGTTACAAAATGAACATTTTTCATCCATAGACCAGTCAGTCAGCTCTTCTGGTTCACAGTCTTTAAAAGAGGGAAAAATATTCATTAAATACACTAACTTTATTAAAACAAATAAAATTACCACTCTCCACAGCAATGGTTCATATAAAAAAAACTAACTACTAACAGTAGGGGAAAAGGCCTAACTTTAAAATTAAACTGATGATATTTAGAAAGAAATAAACAGAGAAGGCTGTAAGGAGAGTAATTTTGCACTATTAGCAAGAACAATGAATTGGTTATAAATTAACTTCCCAACAATAGGGTTTTAAGCATCACCTAGCCTCCTGAAAGATTCAATTTATCATCATCTACTAATTTTATTGTTATTTTCACTATGAAAGAAATCAGAACAAATATGGAGATATGGAGAAGAAAGGAAAAACCTGGTTTTGGTTTTGATTTTGGGGGGGGCGGGGTTTGGTGAGGAAGACTGGCCCTGAGCTAAAATCTGTTGCCAATCTTCCTCTTTTTCTGCTGGAGGAAGAGGGGCCCTAAGCTAGCATCTGTGCCAGTCCTCCTTTATTTTGTACATGGGTTGCTTCCACAGCATGGCTTGACGAGCGGTGTAGGTCTGCACCTGGGATCTGAACCCATGAACCTGGGCCACTGAAGCAGAACACATCAAACTAAACCACTATGCCACGGGGCCAGCCCCAAGAATAACTTTTGCACATTGTGAAAGACAACACAAAACAGAGAAATGGAAAAAAGTGCCAGAAAAGCCCACAGATTTGAGAAAATGGAATGCTGTCCAAGAAAAATGCAGAGGGGCCTCCTCAGTAGAGTAGTGGTTCACTCTGCTTTGGCAGCCTGGGCTTCACAGATTTGGATCTTGGGTACAGACCTACACACTGCTCATCAAGCCATGCTGTGGCCATGTCCCGCAATAAAATAGAGGAAGATTGGCACAGATGTTAGCTCAATTTCAATCTTCCTCAAGCATAAAGAGGAAGACTGGCAACAGATGTTAGCTCAGGGCCAATCTTCCTCACCAAAAAAAAAAGAGAGAGAGCGCGAGAGAAAAAAGTAGAAATCTGTAGCTAAAAAGTCAGATTAGATTTTTCATTGTGTTGTTTAAAGGCTTTGCTGCAAGAGTTAAGAGTAAAAAGCAGGCAAACAAAAGACAAAACATGGGTTTTTTTTCCGTAAAAATGTTCCTTATAAAACTATTGTAACATTAGAGTGTTTCTGGAAAACAAACATTTTCTATTGAAGGAATTTTCTGAAGGTATAATAACACTGTCATCCTAACTATACCTGGTATAGACAGTGATTTTTCAAACTTACTCTTTGTGGGCAGAAACTCTCCTTGATTTCTTTTCCCAAATAAATTCAAATGCAGAACCTCAAATACATAAAACCATTATCATCTGAGGCAGCTACACTGGGACTAATTTGAAAAGTACTGGTGTACCACAGTAATTTTCTCTCATACTTTTGAAATACATAAGGAAGTTGAATACTTGTTTCTGCTAAACTACACAGAAAATAAGTTTATCCTTTTTGAAATGATAATGAATATATACTAGCGAGGATCAGGTCCGAGGATACTCTTGCATCAATCCAGTTATTCTGGTCAGAATAGAAGATAAAATAATTTGTCAGAGTATAAAGAGTGTACTGATAGCTCCTTTTGATTTTGGCAGTGGTCCAGAAATATTCCTAAGATGTATCTAAACCTGGAAAGGGTAAGTAATAGGCATACGAGATCCAGTATGGGGTCATGGAAAGATAACTGGATCTGAAGTCTCCAAAAATATGAGATGGAATTTACTAGTTGTAATCTTGCCAAGCCACAAAGTTTTTGTTTCAATTTCCTCATCACCTAACTTATTTGTGGATCAAATGAAAAAATGTAAAACTACTTTCTAAACTACAAAACACCATGGAAAGCCTAATTACTAATAAGGTAAAATCACCAGTCATTATTATTATTAGTAGTAGTAGTAGTAGTATTTTGGTGAGGAAGATATGCCCTGAGCTAACATCCACTGCCAATCCTCCTCTTTTCGCTTGAGGAAGATTGTCACTAACATCTGTGCCAATCTTCCTCTATTTTGTATGTGGGATGCCACCTGCCACCACAGCACGGCTTAATGAGTGGTGTGTGTAGGTCCACGCCGGGGATCTGAACCTGTGAATCCTGGGCTGCCACAGCAGAGCAGGCAAACCCAACCACTATGCCAGTGGGCTGGCCCCCACCAGTCATTATTTTTTAAAGTCTGTACCATCACACATGTATTTAATAAGGTTTGTTTGCAGAAGACAGATAATTTTAATATCTGCTTAAGAAAACTGGTCACTTTTTGTAAACAACTTGACAAAAGAAAAAGTTTAAGCAATCTATCCAATTAAAAACCTAGAACTGTAGCTATGTAGGTTTATATTTATTTTAGCCTTTTACCCCATCACTAGAACAGAATCATACATTCACAGTCCTGAATGCAGGGTCATGCAGGGTCTCTTACTAGGGAGGTAGAGCTTGTTGAGCAATGGAATGATTATGGGAGAAGCGGCAGTATACCATTCCAAGCTGAGGCTTTAAAAGGCATGGTGAGTTCCTCCAGTTCCCTTAACTTCTACTATCCAGCATGGGAAGAACTTGCCCCTTACAGCCAGCACTCTTTCAGTGTGGGACCTGGAGTCATGAGGAGATGTGATCCTCAACCACAGCCTGGAGTCCAGTATCAGATCACCCATAAGCATGCACTAGATTGAAGAGCTGTTTGTTACACTCCAAGATTGTAGCAAAAACTTAACTCATATGCCAAATATCATATAATTTTGATAGGTCAAGGAAATCTTGCTGCTTTTTTATTATGACTTTATGAATAGAGAATATGAAAGGAATCTAGCATTGGGATTTATGAAAAACAGCTGGTAGGCCTGGAAAAAGGGTACTTTTTAAAATGGTGGTAAGGTTTCATGAGGTTTCAATGATAAATATGTTGACTCAAGGGACAACAACTTTGAATTAATTAAAACAAGTACCAGTTATAAGATAAAATTGGGCATGTTGAGATTATCATCACTTATTTTATTTATTTCAGAAGTTCTCTAAGGAAATGTTAATTAAAATAAATACCTACATAGTTAAATAAATGGCAGTAAATAATCAATCATTATATAAATGCCATTAAATTTTGCTGCATTCAAAATTTATGATTTCATTTACAAATATTTAATAATTACTCTTTCTATGGCAATTTTTTATTTTGACTCCAAATAAATGATGGTGGGAACAATTTTTTATATATGGGAAAACAGATTTTTAAAAATCAACTCTTGGGCAGATTTCTCCCTCTGTCCAGGTTATCACTTCATGTCATAAAAATTAAACAAATGCTACACCAAAATACATTCATTTTCTCTCTCAAACAAAATTTGACAATGAATCAGATATTTCTCTTTAAAATAAGCTCTCTCATTTTGAAATTTTAAAACATGAGTATAAGCTCAAAAAGGGTCAAGTTATATACCTAATAGAAATAGCATTATTTTTTTTTTTAAAGATTGGCACCTGCGCTAACATCTGTTGCCAATCTTTTTTTTTTCCTTCTCCCCAAAGCCCCCCAGTACGTAGTTGTATATTCTAATTGTGAGAGCCTCTGGTTGTAGAAATAGCATTAGTAATAAAAGGAAATGGCATAAGGAAAACTGATAGTAAACGACTGTCAACGACCAACCTTTCCACCATTGATATATATTCTTGTGGTCAAAGTCTAGCTCCAAATATTTTACGTAATCTATCTTAGAAAAATAACAGATTTTGAAATTAGAGAGCCTTGGTATTGAACCATGGGCTTTCCACATACTAGATGTGGCCTTGGGCAAGTAAACTTCTCTGAACTTCAATTTCCTCATCTGTAAAATGAGGATAATAATAACTGCATCTTAAGGCTGCAGTAAAAATTAAATTAAAAAACATAGGCAAAACATCTAACAAGTCCAATAGACGTTACTTTCATTTTCTTCTAAATAATCACACTCCTTTTGATTGTTTTTATTCTCTTCAATACCCTTTAATAATAGGAAATAAAGTTGGAGTTTCCAAAGACAAAGCCCAATGAAAAGTGAAAAAAAGAGAATATTGAACCAGATGGTTCATGAAAGTCATGAAAAAGTAGTTATAACTATGTTGATTTTGAAGAAAGATACCCAACAGTGGGCAATGTTATTCAAAACATAATTTTCCATTATGAAACTACATATTAACTATATAGGAAAAGTACAAAGGAGAAAAGAAAAACTATTTGTAATCTCATCATTCAGAGATAATGATTAACATTTTGCACCATATCCTTCCAGTTTATATTCTATGCCCTTTTAAAAGCTAGTATCACCTGATTCTTTATAGATCAATAAAACTGATAAACCTCTAGCCAAGCTAAGCAAAAAAAAAAAAAGAAGGAGAAAAAGTAAATTTCTAATATCAGACATGAAAGATGGGCCATCACCACTGATCCTATGAACATTACAAAGACAATAAAAGAATATTATGAACAACATTAGTTGCCTACAAATTTGATAACTTCAGATGAAATGGATGAATTCCTTGAAAGACACATCTACCAAATCTCACACAAGAAAAAAGTAGATCACCATAATAGGACTATATCTAATAATTAAATTAAATCAGTAATTAATCACTTTCCAAAACAGAAAGCGCCAGCCCAGATCGTTTCTCAACAATTTGGTCCAGGAAACTGAAGCATAGGAAATACGTCCTCACTCATTCTACGGTTCCATCATTACCCAAATACCAAAACCTGCCTCAACAGACACCTCACCCAAGAAGATTTGCAGATAGCAAATAAGCATATGAAAAGATGTTCAATATCATATGTTATTAAAGAACTGCAAATTAAGACAATGAGATACCACTAAATACCTACTAGAATGGTTAAAGTCCAAAACACTGACCACATCGAAAGCTGGTGAGGTTGTGAAGCAACAGGAACTTAAATAAACTGCTGGTGGAAATGCAAAATACAGTAATCCCCCCTTATCTATGATTT